AACCCTCCTAATATTAAAATATACAATAATTATATCACCTGGTTTAAAGAAACTAAGTACTTAGGAATTATCCTTGATAGTAAACTTAACTGCAGATCGCATATCTACAACCTTAGAAATAAATTCAATACTCAATTTAGAATTCTCTACCCTTTAATCAATAGAAATTCAGCTTTACCTCTTAATCTCAAAATTCTAACATATCTCTCTTATCTCCGTCCAGTATTAGCTTATGCAAGCCCAGTTTGGGGTTCTGTCGCACGTACAAATTTGAAATTATTCAAAGGCTTGAAAACCAAACTCTCAGAATGTTAACAAATTCACCCTGGTACTTTCGTAATGACGATATTAGACGAGCTCTCTTGATTCCAAGTTTAAGACAATTTGTTCACAAAATTTCTACTAAATTCTATAATGATATGCGAAACATTAATAACCCTGTATTAAATATCCTACAAAATTACGATTATGATGTTTCTTCCGCAAACATAGCAAAAGACCTCGCACTGTTCTAAATATTTTAAATTAATTCCTTACAACTAACTGCCTAGACGAAAAAGTTCGCTTTTCTCTAATTTGTCATTCGGGGTTATTACATACAACTGATTCCATCAACATCTACATTTTTGATATTTTTCATTTTATAATTTTATTAAATAAATAATTCTCTTTTTAAAAAAAAAAGAGCATTTAATTATCTATTTTGCTTATTAACTCAAAGGGCACGAGACCACCGCTATGTTTCAACATTTTACAAAGAAGGAGCTAGTGGCCGCTACGCGGCCAGGATCTCCGTAATAATCTACAATAACAATACACTAGATATAAAAATAAGTTATGGTTATAGAAAGTTGCCTGTTATGGTTACATTAAAAATCTAAGTTGATCTGAAAATTTATCTGATCGATATATTAATATGAAAATCAAGTTGCATTAATTTAGATATCAAGCCATGATTTCAAAGAGATTGTCATGAGATTTTACTATGCCCAAAAAACAACATTATCGTAAATTTGCAACATGGATTAACTCATTGGCAAGTAGTAGCTGATGAATCATACTTAGGTTTCTCCTGAAGCCAAATTGCTGAAAGATGAGATTGTTATTTTCTTGCCAATGGTGATTCAGGCTTTTAAGAATCATATATTTGAATATTTTGCTCACACTGTTAAAAAATGAGATAATTTTGAGTCGAGGATGAATTTTATCCTGTTTTGGATTAGTATTGTATAGATTGGATTACGGTAATTTTCCAGTTTTGTAATATTCTTACATCATAATACATTCAAGCAACATTTTTTCATTATACAACTGATAATATAAATATCGTTCGACCTTTGACAGTATAGAAAGGTAAACACCCTTTCTAATAGCGGAAAAGTATGAATCACTTACTTGTTAGGCATGCTACTCGATTACTTGTTGTGACTACTAGGGATATTTACGCGCAAAGGAATTTTGATTTAGGTTAATCGCTCTAAGATCATATTTTTTGCACACTTTAGGCTAATTAGAAGGGACCTGCTGTTCAACGTGGATTCTGAACCATTAACAGACATCCATGCTACCGCCAGGAATCGAGCCTGAAGCCAGTGGTACCAAAGGCCAGAGTGCTAACCAATTGGCAACCAAGCAATTTTGTATAAGTTGCTCGGGAATTTTTTTCGCATATTTTTTATATTATGTAATTTAACATTTAAATTAATTAATAAAGTAAAATAATTTTTATAACATCTTTTTGAACTATTATTCTTCTACATTACGCCCATCTATGTAAACCTGTCCAAATTGACAGCTCGTAATTTTTCCGTATAATTGGTGGTCCAACTCAAATAACCAAAATGAATTTTAGTTCGAGAATTGCGACGAATCGATTCTCAGTCCATGCCTGAAGCAATAAAAAACTTCTTACGACATTGGCACCGACGAGATTCGAACTCATAATCTCTTGTTTACTAGACAGGCGCTTTAACCAACTAAGCCACGGCGCCACGACTACATGCATAAATAAGGTTAATAGCATATTTTAACTCTCCTTTGACCTTTCTTCGATGACCTTGAGAATTTTTGCAAAAGACATTTTTGAACAGAAAGGAATGTGTGAATAGTTTAAGCTATAGAGGTTAAAAGGTTAGATTATAAAGTTCCCACATTCCTAAATTATCTTTATATATATATATATATATATTTCAACATTATAGTAATTATTTGTAAAATAAATTAAGATAATTTAAATTCACAATGAATTATAAAAATTAACGGATCGAAACTAAAATACTTATTTACCTATTTATCCATTTAGATTTACTTTAGTAGGAAAATAAGATATAAAAAAAAAAAATTACTACACAATTTCATATATGATCATTTAAATTTTTGATGATGATGATTTAAAGAATTTTTGTTTTAAATTTTTCATTTATTTATTTTTATTTTTACTTCTTTATCTTTTGTCTATGCGAGTTTTATTCGAATCGATAAACAAACAAAACAAATATTTACAAGGGGAATTTTACTGAAGAAATTAGTATATGAAATTTCTATTTTTTTATATTTTTTTTATTATCTTTTCTAATCTTGTAAAAGGGCGCACAATATTGACAACCGGGTACATTTTGGATAGATTGAATTGATTGTGTAACAAACCAACTAGATCAGGGTTGGCCAACGCTTGAGATTTATCACACTTTAACAAAATATATTTATTTTATAACGGCTAAAATAGTGAAAACCAATGTATTAAAAAATACATTATGCATACATACATATATTAAAAAATAAACTGCCGAAATTACGAAAAAAAATTAACATTGATTTTAAAATAATATTCTTGAGAATATAGGACAGATATTGCCTGCTTTATTTATGAGTTTACAGTCATGAGTTCGCAGAAATTATTAATAAAATTATATTCTTCGAACTCCTGATGCGCGTATCTTGGAACATCTAATATTACAGATTCTATGTTCACTTTAAGTCACCTCAGAGACGCAGTGATCATCCCTAGATACGCACAGTTGATTATTGATACCAGAGTAAACCAGACTCTTAGTTAAAGTTGTTAGCGCTTTTGGTTCCACTTACACCTGTGAATTGGTTTTTTTTTTTTTTTCTAAAATTAAATTGACCAAACACAAAGCACTCTCAAACATAACGGACGCAACAACCATTACCATGTGCAAATACTCAAATTGAGATTGATTTGCAAATGCTAAGTGAAAGAGTGGAGAAACAAATATCGCACTAGTAAAATAAATATTTTTTAATGATTTCGTTTTTTTTATTTCGTTCATATATATATATATATATATATTTTATATTTAATTTTTAGTGCTATATATTTCTTTACAATGTGTGTTTAGTATCATTATTATTAGATTATCTATGTTTACATGTAAGAATAATAATAAATACAAAAATGAATGTTTCAATTTTCACTCCACAAAGTATCACTCTAAAGTAGCCAGCAAGATCATTTGGATTGGCCACCCCTGAACTAGATATTCCCCATTAATAATATCAATGATCTAATTTCATTATAAATAGGAATATTCTTTTTTTACACCATTTATTTGTGAAAAATTTTCTATACAAAGCTGTGTGTGATTGTTTAATATATTTTTCAACGGATAATAACTTTAATTGTTGATCTTCTCTTTTATATATTTTTTTTGTTCTGATAAGGCTAGAAATTTTAAATGAGCAGTTGTTTATAAAATTCATATATTTGTTTAAAATTTTTAATGATTTTTCAATAACTTCAACGATGAACGAGAAACGCATCTAATTTCGTAATTACATTCTCTAATTTTGTAGAGGATCCACTTTATCGATAATCAGATAACTGATAACCACATTATTGATAACATATTTATTTCAGGTGAATTGAATTCTTTTTTCGTTACTGTTTTGGGACAAATTCTGTGTCCGGCAGAGCGGAACGGACAGCCCATGGGTGGTCTACTCGTGGAAGGAGCAAGGGGGGCTTCTGTTGGGGTAGCGCTGTCATAGATACAAGTTTGACTTGGTTCCGAATGGCTGAAGAAGAAGGTCATTGCCTTACGTTTTAAGAGGAATTACACCGCATTTGCACATCGTATGGTATAAGATTCGGAAAATTTCACCTGATAGTCCCACTAACGAAGCCAGAGGCTGATCATCACGAAAGTCATCGAATCTTCATTATTGAAACAATGTCGCTAGCAGATTGAATATCAGTCTTAATACTCACCAGTGGCGCTCGTTATCACTGAGCCCCGAATCGGGTATGTTTTCTGTAACCAATCAAATAGATAACCTACAGTAAATGATATCAGTGATTCTAATATATTTATAAATATGAATTATTTTTATATCATTATTTATTTGTGAAGAATTATATATTCAAAGTATCAGAAGGGAGCAAAGCGTAAGATGATAACTTTATCTTGTGAAAAGAGTTAAAGCTTTTTTTCCGTATACGTAGATATGTATAACGAAATATTCGTCCATCTTATTTCTATCGGATAAAATTTATTTCTTATGTTTAATTTTTGGATTCACTAAATTTAATACGAAAAAAAGATCATGATTTTTTTTTTTTTTTAATACTTTTAGCATATACTTCTATGCTTAATTTTTCTTATAATCTGATGAATTTCTTTTCGGTGATGATTAAAAAAAATTTAATAATTTCAGTTCTTTCTGATGTTAATAGGAGTTGAAAATTAAATTATGTTGTTGTTGTTTCTTATCCCACTTGACTTGCCAAGCCCACGAGCCCATACGTACTCATGATTGAAGGGGAAGGAAGCAGCTTCTGTTGTGTTGGAGCACCCGTAGGTAGAAGCCTGACTTTTGTTCCGTGATGCTCTTACAGTCATATGAGACCGGAACATACGGCTTAAAGTGGATTCGAACCACTACAAACATCGATGGCACCGCCGGGATTCGAACCCGAAACCTGTGGCACCGAGCGCCAGACACTCGGCCATTGAGGTCCCAAATTTGTGAATGCCAATGGCACGCATTGTTTCCAGGTGGCCACCCACCCAAGTACTGACCAAGTTGCTTGACTTCGGTGATCTAACGAGAATCGGTATATTCAGCATTGTATGGCCGTTGGCTAAAAGCTGAAACCCTTAGGCACCGACGAGATTCCAACTCGTGAACTCCTGTTTACTAGACAGGCGTTTTAATCAACTAAGCCACGGCGGCGCTTAAATTATGGTATACAGGTAATGAATGCATTTTTCTTTTTTTCTGCGATAAATTAATATTCAAAAATGTTTTGAGTACAACAAGCATAAAATATAACTAAATTTTTCATTGAAGAATCTAATTTATCCATAGCATCAAAATAATAATTATTTCTTGAACTTGTTAATTTTAATGTCTTACTACACACAAGCGCAGTTATTTTGTTACTTTAGTCACAGAAGAAGAGAATTTTTAATAAGAGGAAGTTTTGTTTTATTAAATAATATATTTTTAATTTGATTTTTTTAAATTTTTTAAAAACAATTTATATATATTCTTTTCTTCAAATGTAAATCTGTTTCAGTAAATCATTTTTTTAAAATATATTTATCTACATAATTCTATCTATCTTTTATATAGATTTATTTTTATATAATAATTAAATATGCGTATATATATATACTCATATTTAACTATTATATAAAGCAAAATTACTTTAAATATACACACAAGATATGTACACACACATAAATTATTTTATAAAGTAAAATTACCTTAAATATACACGCATACCTTATATATACGCGCATCTAATAATTATATAAAAAGCAGAATTACCTTAAATTTATACTCGCGTAAATTATTTTATAAAGTAAAATTACCTTGTTTATATATATATATATATATATATATATATATATACATTGCATTAACCCATAGAGCAAATAAAAAGAAGTTAAATAGAACTTTGGAAACATTTAATAGAAAGTAAAAAACTCTCGAGATACACATACATCATATCATCACGCAATTTTTTATGGCGGATTTCATCACATGCTGAAATCGTAAACTTCAGCCAAAAAAATTCCGATCTATGATATATAAATAACTACTATCTAAGATACCATGAAATATAAACAAAATGTATCATCTGTAATTTCTTTTGAAATAAGAGTTATAGTCAGTTTAGTCACTGAAAAATAGATTGGTAATTAAATAAAATATACTATTTATCAATATAACTGTTTTTTGTTGTAAATTTTTATATTAGCAGAATTTTAAAACATTAATACGAAAAAATCTCAAATGTTTTTCAAAGAAATTCAAAAAAATTTAGTTTGGGCGACATTCGTAACAAATGCGAACGCCTTTAAGTCAAGGTCAAAGGAAAAAATAAAGGGTCACTAGGATGAACTGAAAACTGGACGTTGCATTCTTGACCGCAGCCACAGGAACTCAAGGTCACATTTTCTTAGAAACTAATCCAGAGTTCATGGAAGTTCTTCGACCTGTTACACACACCCAGTAACTGAGAAGACAAGATTTCATAAGATATAATATGGGAATCAAAAAACAAAGTTGCCACAATGACTGCCAAGACACCTCTGTTCTCTAGAAATGATGACTTATTCTTCATACGAAATCAGAATTTAAATTTCTAATTTGCATAGTAGTAAAAGTAAAAATCTATACATCCATGATACTAACCATTATACTAAAGGTGGCCAACCCAAATGATCTTGCGGGCCACTTTCGAAAATGCATCCTAACTCCGTGGGCCGCATATTAGATTTAGACCCACTATAGACATTCTTTTTTTGTGAAAAGTCGAAACATAATGAGTTATTATTTGTGTGCTTACTATTATCCCTACATGTAAACATAGATAATATAATAATAATGATACTAAACGCACATTGTAACAAAACAATTTATAACACTAAAAATGAATTATAAAAAAAAAAAATTATAAATATAAACGAAATAAAAAATGAAATCATTAAAAAATATTTATTTGACTAGTGCGATATTTGTTTTTCCACTCTTTCACTTGCTTTTGCAAATGTTGTGTTTGAGCGTGTTTTGTGTTTGGTCAATTTCATTTAAAAAAAAAAAAAAAAAAAAAAACGATTCGCAGATGTAAGTTGAACCAAAAGCGCTGACAACTTCAACCAAGAGACTGGTTTGCTCTGCTATCAACAATCAACTGTGAGTATCTAGGGATGGTTACTGCGATTACTTAAAGTGAAACATGTAACCTGTTATATTAGATGTTCCAAGATGCGCTCGCGTCATGTATTCTCAGAATGCAATTTAATTATTCTGCGAACTCATGAATAAAACAGGCAATATCTGTCATATATTCGCAAGAATTATTTTAAAAATCAAAATTGATTTTTGCTCAAAATTTTGACAGTTAATTTTTGATAATATATATGAATGCTCACATAATGTATTTTTTTAATACATTGGTTTTCACTACTTTGGCCATTATAAAATAAATATATTTTTGTAAAAGTGTGATAAATCTTACGGGCCGGAAAAATATTCAAGGCGGGCTGCTGGTTGGCCACCCCTGCACTATACTAATGAAAAAAAAAAAAAAACCTCTAGAACTATTTCAAATAAATTGCCATCAAATTTAAGGACTATCTCCAGCATGGAGCCAATTTTTTAGAAGAATAAAATTGCATCAAACCGCACATAACATACATTAATTTGATGATAGATTGGCATTGGAGTGAGACAGACGGAGAGCTGTTGTGCTGGAAGCTTAAGTCTGTAATACCAGTAAAGAAGAAGAATTTGAGGATAGTTGTTATGCAAAAGGAGTATACACTAATATTCCAAAGTTATGCCATAGATGGGACTGACGAAAGTCATTTAAGTCGAAGTCGCGTAAGTCGTGGTACAATTTAACATATAAATTTTATGTAATTGGGATTGAAGATCAATAAAAGTACTAGTTTAGTTTAAAAATATTTATTAAAATTGTTCTTTATTCAGTCAGCCTTCTACACTTTTGGACTTTTAAAAATTTTTTGTTCTCCAAAATATTCCACAATTATTTTGAAAACAGGCTGTTTTCTTTAAAAAAAAAAAAAAAAAAAAATGTTTTTCCACTTTTTTACCATATTGAAAACTTACAGTTGAAAAATTTATGCTTAACATTAAAGAAAATATATATTTATAAAAACATATTCATCATGTTGAAGACTTTCCGCATTCAAAACACGTTAGAATTAATTACCATTATTAACCAAATTTAAATGCATGTCTGAAGAAAAATAAATAACAGAAAAACTTATTGATAAAAAGAGATAAAGTGACTGAGTATTAAAAAAACATGAACTATTATTGCAAATTAAAATTCCCTTTTAATGTTTCTGACTCCTATAATGTGGCCTGTTGGCCGAGTATCTAGAGCTCGGTGTCACATGTTTCGGGTTCAGTACCGGCGGTGTAATTGATGTTTGTAATGGATACGAAATCCACTTTAAAAGGTACCACAAGGTCCTGCCTAATATAAAGAGCGTTGAATGTATGGCCGACTCCATTAAAAGGAAAACATCTCATGTTTTGGAACTACCAGTAGGTAGACCGCCTTGGTTCACCATGGAGCTGTTGCGCCATTGAAGAAGAAGGATATAACAGATAAATTAACTGAATCAGAAGGCATTTATGATCAATGTTGCAAAACGAAAAACTTGGGAACCGCTTAACTCCAAGTTCACACAAATCGGAGTATTACTGAAATATACCATTTAAGATATAGTTTAACCACCGATTGTATGGAAGGAACCGGACGAATCGATTACTTGTTAAAGGTACCAGTTAGATATAGGAGGTGCGAAGAAGCTTTTAAAGAAAAAAAGTTTATCAGTTATTGTGGAATTTTTTTCCTCTAATTTTCCTTTTCGATATTTTTAATTTAAAATTTTAATCATTAAAAATTCAATTTTTTATTCTATTTAAAAACTTTCTAAAAATATCTTTCTCTCCTATTATGCCGCTCTGTTTGATTTCGTCCGTGATTTTCCACACAATCGGTAGTCAACTTGAAAATACAATTATTTGAACTTTTTACACACTACTAAAACACCAGTAATCAAATATATAAGTACCATCTAATTCAGTTGAATCCCGATTATATGATTTAATATAGGTCAAGCTCACTTTAGAGAAGCAGATTACTGGGATAAACCAGATTTGCAATAATCTTCATTAAATAAAGAAATATAAATTTACACACTTATTAATTATTATGGTACTACATGTGCTTGATTTTATGATGTACATTTCTAAATTATAATGTGCTTTCATAAAAATGGAAATAAAACCTTTCATTTGAAGAAGTCATTGTTATTTTTATTTATTTATTTTTTTGTGAGATAACCATTCTCTTGCTGCAATATTACACCATTGTATAGGTGCCATCAGAATTATAGGTTACTGTTTTCTTACTGCTCAATATATTCAATGGTATCTTCAATCGAACTTTGAAATTCATCAATTTCTTCTGATTCTTTCCCATTTTCATTATTACTGCACTGCTGTTTAAGGTTTTAAACTGTTTGCAATCACATTATATGAAATTTCTAGCTGTTTATTGTACAGAAAAATGAATGAAAATAGAATGAGAATGACCAATTTGCCAATGCTACAGGTATCGTCCTGTGATGTCTGGAATGAGCTCTTACATTTCAGAATGGCGCCTATCATTAGAATACAGTACAGCCCGATGTCTTTGTTACTTAGGACATCTTCCGTCCAGCAAGTCTGTAAATAGTATAGACCTTGCCAATCACTCCGATTCAGCATAAGCCTTTCAACTGTTTGTTTACATTTTCAATAGTTTTGTGGCATCGACAACTGGCTCCTAATTGTGCCGAATTTAAACACTTTTATTTTTTAATTTTTAATTTTTGTATTTTACTTTTATTTATTTTTCAGTATTTCTTAAAAATTTTTTTGAGTATACCATTTATTTAATTTTTTTGAAAATTGTATCTTGATATTTTCATTACTAACATTAAGCAGCCTATTAGAAGTGTGAATTATATTATCTATGAATTAAGACGAGGAGGTTAAAAGGTCTATCCCAATTGGTACTCCGTAATCGGTAAGCCAGTTGCCAATGGTA